AAAAAAAAAAAAAAAAAAAAAAGTGGATATTTGGGAAAGAGGACTTCTTAATACCTAGGGGAAGTGGTAAGTCCTTACATTTGGGCTTGGAGAGACTCAAAACCTGGGCATCAAACAAGAAAAAACTAGCTCCCTGGGAAATGCCTAGTACATACTAAGCGTTCCCCATATTCCCACCAGCTTCAATAACCGGAACCTTCGATTTGCCACTCACGTTTCCGGTGGGAGAAAGAGGAGAAGAGAGGACTTGAGCAAGCCGGACGAGGCACTTCCGCAACTAGGGGCACCTCTGCTTCCGGTGCCTTGGCTGGGCGGAAGTGGGCGGAGCGGAGGGGGTAACCGGCGGTCCTTTCCGGTGTCCGGGAACAGTTGAAGAAACGACCAAGGAACTGAGAGTCGCTCTTGAGGTGAGTTCGAGACGGTGTAGGAAGAGTGTTGCTGGGATCACTTTCCTGCGGGCTAGAGGTCTGGGGTCTTGAGGGAGACCTGGGCAAGATTTTGGATTCCGGACTCCCTGTCGATCATTATTAATAGAGCTGTACGGGCGCCCCAAGTTTGAAGCTGAGCTACGCTCCCCTGGAGGTGGCCAACCGTGCATCGGTCAGTTCTCTCTCTCTCTCTCTCACTATAAACTCAGCCAAGTGGTAGCTAGCATCGGCCAGTTCTCCCTTAGTTACAGTTCCGCTGCAGATGGCTATTTGCTGGCGGTCCCAAGGGAAGGCAGTGGACTGGGATTGCTGGGGGTCTAAGGCGTGGGAGTTGAGGGAAGAGAACTCCTTTTCTGGTCTCAGTTTCCCGGACTGTGATGGGACGGCGGGCGATACTAGATTGTCCAGTCGTCCATCGCCACTTTCTTTTCACCTGACAGCCCCTTCCCTCTCGGGGTGGGAACAGGGCTTCACGTTTTCCTGCGTGGAGCTTCGGGATCCGGCAGTCATAGATTCGCATTCCGATTGTGCTGCTAATTCTGTGAACTTGGGGCTTGAGGGGGCCTTGAGGCAGTTGGGTGTTATGTTTTCTTATGAAGATGTTCAAACTTATATGAAAGTGAGAGAAGAAATAGGAATTCCTGTCACCCAAATCTACAAATTATTATTTTGGCCATACTTGCTGTATTTTTTTTTTTTTTT